GGTTTGTTTCCTTTTGCTTTTCTTATTGTTTTTAATTTCTTAAAAGAATTTCAACATTCTAATTAAATTTCTGCTTTTATTAGTTGTATCTGCACTTGTTTTCTGCCATTTTATGGAGAAAAAATCTGTTTTTTTATGTGCAATTATCTCCTTCCGCTAGGACGGCATATGGTTTGGTTTGAGTTGATTGGTTATCAGTCGTGGAATGTAGGCCTTAACTGTCCATGTAGATGCAAATTGTATGTTCTCTTTTGGCAGCAACATATTCTTGGAATGATGGTAGTAGATTTTGCATTATCAATGCTGAATTGGTGAATACCGACTCATTTCATTGCTTTTTTTAAGCTTTTGCAACTAATATTATTCAAGTTAGAAACAAGAGAGTTAAAGCATTGTGTATTTTCTAACCCCTTTGTATGATTTTGTATTTTGATCCATGATCTCTTGTTTATTTGAGCTTCCTCTTGAAGTCCCTGTTTATTGTGTGGCTCTATTCTGTGTTATAATGAAGAATTATTCAAAAGACTCAAATTATGCTGCTATCTGTTGTCAGATGATGAAATTGTATATCTGGATACAGACCACGGATGGTGCAATTCAGCAAGTGGAACAAGAAGTTGCCATGTTTTGCCCTATGATATGTCTGGAAGTAGTACAAAAGGGAATGGGATCCTCTAAGAATTGTGCTATATCTCTACCTCAACGAGTCAGTCCTGCCATGCTTAGCCTAATTCTTGATTACTGTAGATTTCATCAAGTTGCTGGCCGCTCTAACAAGGTTTCTTCACATTTCTGGCATCACATACGCTGTTTGTTGGCTTTAAATTTGTTTCTTGCTCTCAGTAGTTGATGTCAGAAGTACATGTTAAATAGGAAAACTTGAACCGAGCACTTACATGTCCAGGGAGCTGTTAGTTCATAAAAGTTCTAGAAGATGAAATAGCATAGGTGTAGCACAACTTACCCTAGTCTGTTTTTTTTTTTAGGAACGCAAGTCTTTTGATGAAAAGTTTGTTCGAATGGATACAAAGAGGCTTTGTGAGTTGACATCTGCTGCTGACAGCCTCCAGTTAAAGCCTTTGGTTGATCTTACTAGTCGCGCACTTGCTCGAATCATTGAAGGGAAAACCCCCGAGGAGATACGTGAGATATTTCATTTGCCTGATGATCTAACAGAGGTGTCTGGTACTTGTGAGAACTGTGTGTAGCATGAATTTTTCATACACGCTGTGATTTTAACTTTGGTCCCACTGATTTAGGAAGAGAAGCTAGAGCCTTTGAAGAACACAACTGATGATCCACGAATCCGACTTTTAAATCGGCTGTATGCAAAGAAAAGGAAAGAACTAAAAGAGAGAGAGAAACTAAAGGTTTTCTTTTCTGTCCAAACTGTCCTTCTAGTGTTGATACTTCCATCAGTCTTAATCCTAATCAAACTGCTAGTTGTGGATTGTGATTGGGCTGGGCCTTCCATTTGTTGCAGGATGTTGATGCTGAAGAGGAGCATGTGGATGACCGCTCAGTTGATGACCTCTTGTCTTTTATCAATGGAGGAGATGGAGGTATGCTCAAGTGTTGCTCAACTGTAACTTGTCTTACTTCTGATTCCTAAACCATTTTCTGTCTTCATGATGTAAATGCTGAGGTTTGATAATATAATCCCAAACCTGCCAGTGAATATGACAATGCCATATCATAGAGTATAAAAACTAGGAAATACCTGTTTGTAGTTTGTACAGCATTACTTGAAAAGAAAATAAGTAGAATGGATGTTTCAATCTAGAAATTTGTTCTTTCAACTCCTATTTGGAATAGAATGATTAGAGACTTCTAGGTTCAAGAAAACCAGGGCAAGAAATTTTATGTTCTCCAATGATTGTTTCATTTTTGTTAGTGGTGTCTGATTTGGATGATAACAAATGAAAAGAGGAGTGTGAGAGCTTGGCAGGACTCAAGTAATAAAGATATATGTATTGGTACACCTTGATAGAAATGCATGCAGCTCCTTATTAAACATTTGAGTTTTATGGGATCGGCATTACTGTAATTTTCTTGGTTGATCATATTCTTAAAGGGACCTGGACTTGATTCTTCATCTGTGTTATTCATATAATTTCTAGTTATTTCTGGATTTTTTGTTGCACAGTATTGGTGTATGGAATTGTATTTTTTGTTAAAGATTCAGTATAATCTGCCTGATAGTGCAAATAATTTAGTGACTACCAAGCATATATAAAAGCATTTCAGGTTTCAAAAGATGAATTGCTGTTGTAAATTTCTTGTTGTGCTTAGATGATCAGAACAATACCATTGACACATTATTGTATGTCTGTTTTTAGTGACTTTTAGTCTTTATATATATATATATATATTTCATATGCTCTTGAAGGCCTTACTGGGGGCAAGAAATTTTCTTCTCAGATTCTAAAGGGATTAAAACTTCCAAGAATAAAAAGAAGCACAGAAAAAGAAAAGATCTGCAAAAGCGCGCCCCTTCAAATGAAGCCATTGAAACGCATAAAAAGGTTGGGCCACCTTGTTCCCATCCCTTATCTTTTGAAGTAATGGGGTTCAGCAATAGTCAAGCTTCTTTTTTGTCACAATTTCTCAGGAGTCAAACGCTGCTACTTCTCTACGCCATAATGCCAAGGTGGATCATGAATTACAGTCCAGTCTTAGTGAGAAATTAAAGTTACAAGATGCGGCAGGTGAAATTTTTGCACCTACAGTGGAGTTTGAAGATGTTGATGATGAGATAGATCCAGCTTTAAAAGAAGAAATTGATAGGTGAGCATGGACATGGATTATTAATGTATTTTATAAACTGTATGCTCATACACGTGTGTGTGTGTGTGTGTGTGATCTGTCTGCTGACCATTTCCAGCAGTACTTGTTCGTGCCTTCAATAGCATTGTTTAAAAGTAAGATGGTGTCATTCATGTTTGGTCGTTGAGAACTTACCATGGCAATTATTTGGGCATTCAAATTATTTGTATGTATTATATTTTGAAGCTTCTGGATTACATATTGCAGCCTTTAAGTCTTTTGAACATTTGACATGATGTTACTGGTTGAGCTTTCACATATGGTCATTTCCTGTTGATAATGCTGTGGATTGGAAAGAATATTACACCCTTCTTTGCACTCTCCTCCATACCATGGTCTTTGTTGCATTCGACATGAATATTAGTACTTTCAGGTTTGGTATTCCATAACATCTTTTTTCCCCAGGGAGGTTGAAGATTTTGCTCGAATACTAAATTCAGATTGGCCTGAAAGGATGCAGGAGCTTCTATCTTTGGGTCAAGAGAGGAGACTGACACATTTATCTGTTAATGGCAATGGTGCCTTGAAAGGACATGCAAGTATGCCCTCTTTTCCCTTGTGACTTAAAGTTTCTCTTGCATGTGGTGATTTTGTTCTCTGGAATGTCCTGTTCTTTGTGTGTTGGTAGTTGCCTACTTTAATGCTAGCATTTGGTTTCTTCCTCTTCCTGTAATTTGATTTGCGGGATCAGAGATTCAAATTGTTAAATCAGTGGTATTACCCAAACTGTATTCCATGTGAATTTCCACTCCCACCCATTACATGCATGGTTTGGACCATTTTGTGTATGCTATAGTCCTTAAGAATCTTGTCATTTTAGTCTGCATGATTGGAAAATTGGAAATTCTTGTCTTGACTTGGTTGTTTTATCCAGTGACATTTGTTCAGGTCTTGCAACAATGTGATCTTGAAATCTTTAATTCACTTGACTTTGTACTTTTTAGTGGGCACCATGAATTTGCCATGTAAAATCAGAAAAACTAATATGTTTGAGCAGAGGTCTGGAACCTGAGGTTTCAGTTGAATAATGAGCTCCCGTAGTTTGTGAATGGATTGATAGGATAAAGCATTATCTGTTAAAATGTTTATTAAACAATGCCAGCAGCATTAATTGAACCTTAATCCATTATAGCTACCATGATCATCGTGTTCCTCGGTGACTAATTAAATGATTGTTTGGATGGGGAGGACCAGATCCTGGGCAGAAATGAATATTCCAGTATGGATTCTCTCTCAGACAGCCGATGGCTGGAACAATTTTGACCAGATCCTAATGCAGGTAGCATTGACGGCAACAAAAAGAGGATTGCATTGTCACTGATGTGAATTTACATGTAAGTTTTTTCCTATTTATTTATTTTATTCTTTTTCTCATAAAAGGAAAAATAGAAAGAATTGCCTGTGCTTTTTAGGAGGCAATTTGATTGTAGGGGCAACATTTGTACTTTAAGATAAGGAATAAAAATGCAAAAGCTGTTCCATGAGCCAGCTCTGCTCAATTGTTATTATCTGGTGTGGGGTGGTTGTGCTGTCTGTTAATGGAAAGAAACTGCCTGTGATGTTATTTGTCAAGGAATAGCTATCATCATTCCCAGCTGAGGATCGTCTTCTCTCTCTCTCTCTCCTGAACATGAAGAGATATTTATACCTGTTCAATGATTTGGCAGAAATTCCTCTGTTCAGAATGGCATTTTTGATGGTTGTAATTGCTTTAGGCTTTTTTGCGGTGTGCATAGATGATAGACCATAGAGCACAGGTTGACGTTTGCTATGGAGCCTTCTGATAGGTTTTTTAGCGTAGTTGTAGAATAGCAACCACAACGTGGGATAGCGGAAAGGAATGGAAGATGCAGATGATAACAATTTCTGGTCATGACTTGCATCTTTGAACTTTTTAATTCTGGAACACCCATATTAATAGGTAAATGCTGAATCGAGTGTTTTAGTGGAAAATATGCTGAAAGAAAAAGGAACGATCCTGCATGCCGTTCAAATCGCAAGACTTGCATGTTCTTACGCCAGGGGTGGTGAGTTTATGCAAGTTGTGCTACTCCGGGGGGACAGAGTCCATGCTGGAATAAGCGACTCCCAGAGAGCGGCTTCTTGTGATGAAATTAAGACCATACAATAATAAAATAACAAGACATGCTGGACCAAGCAGACGTTTAAGAGCGTTGGGAATTAAAGTAGTTCGATTATGCAATATTGGCACAACATATCTGCTAATCCGAGGCGATAAAGATCCTTGGCAATTAGTCAAGCTAATTTTACTCACTCCGGTTTCAGGCGGTTAATGGCCAAAAATATTACAAGCTCTCCTACAACTTATACAGGTAACATTTACGAGCTCCTTCTGTATGCTAAAACTAAAACCAGAACAGCTAGAGGGGCGCAGCACATTTACATGCTTGTATTTTATTATTGAGAGCCAGGGGGTTGAAATTGGATGTGCGGGCAGTGCCTTTCAGGTTCTCCCATTGTCCATAATGTTTTGAGATCACCTCGTTGCCTTCCCAGCGTCAGAAACGTACCTGCATCCATGATTAAAGAATTAATCTCATGCGAATTATGTAGACAAACAAGAATGACCGCTTAAGGAGGCCACCTCTGTAATTCCCATATACGAAACAGGCTAGCGTTTGATTTGTTCTTTTTTCCTTTTTTTTTTTGTGGTGGTCTAGACCATTTAAGCATTTTGCTCCATGCTATCCCTTGAACTTCAAATACTCTTTCTTGATTGATAAATGTCAATGCTTGATTTAGTCAAGGAAGGGATGAGTTTTGAGCAAATGCTTTGATGGTCTCAAGAACCCTGTACCACGGAGATGGTATTTGGGCTGCACAGGGTCCTCCATTTTCAGCTGGCAATTGCCTAGGGTCCTTCAACATCAACTGGCCAAAATACATTTTCAAACCAGGGTGCACTTTTGCATGCAAAGGAAATGCTTACGTGGCCCAAGTGAAAGCTTGCAAGAAATTGCCACTATTGTTTCCCAAGAGTAATATGGGTAATTTCTGGACCTCCACTTGGAGCGGGGTGCTGTAGAAACTTATTTTAAACTATAAACCTCTCCACTAAAGGGGAATTACCCATGGGCTTCACCCAATGGTTATGTTGCTGCTGCTTAGTACTTACCAAGGGTGAATGGAACAATGTAAAGCAAAGCTGGCTGGCCATGCCCATCCATCATGTTCAAAGCCAAGTATGTTATTAAGAGACCTGCACATTAACAAAATGTGGATAGTAATGATGGCGGTCATTAATTACAAAAACATAAAACACCCACAAAGTCAAGAGTCACAAAGCAACATTCATTTTTTATACACTGCTTCAGATAAACTTGTTTCCTATAAACCATGCCTAGTTTCAAACTATATGATCCATCCTAGGAGAATTTACACCGACAAATTATTAACTGGATGTTGACCTTGATCTCTTGCTGTAGCCTTAATCTCTGGTAGTATATAGTGCAGAAATATATGAACATCTTGTCCTTTTTATTTAAGGTTGCCAAACTATATCACACTTCTTGGAACTCCTTTGAAACATGAAAACTGTTTGCAACTGCCTCTATATGTTTCATCATCACATGATGCAGCCCTTATTAAGCAGCGGTGATGATCCAAGTTTAATGTGTGCAGCACATGAATGTGTGTGTATCAGCTATGGAAATTTTATGTTGTCTTTCTTTATCTCCTCCTCACAAGTAGAGTTCAATGCATGCTATTATTTCCTAAAATCTTTTTGCACAGGTGGTCAAATATACTTGTATATGGCTCATATGTGCATCCCATTGATAATTTCTATCAGTTGCTTTTAACTAACAGCCTTCCATGCTTGAATAACAAATAATGAACTAAAATGTTAAAAGTTATCTTATGAACCACAGTGATGTGTCCAGGTCCATTCACTTTAGCTTTTGGCATACCTAAACCATAAGCAGTCATTGCCCACAAGAAGTATCCGGCTCGAAGATTCTTCTTTGCAAGCCAATCATATCTGCAAAATGACCAGCACTACTCAACTTACAAGCAGTTAAAACATCATATCAAATCCCAGTCAGTCAAACATATCAAAGTAAAAACATCCATAGGTATTATGACGAGAATAGACCTTGTATAGTTGATGGGCCAAGCATCATAGCCCATTCCACTTTCATCTGGTCAAAATATGGTTTGTTTGACAATAATTTCATGGCCTTGCAACTTAAGAGGGAAAAAGAGAGAGAGAAAGGGGCAATTTCCAATTAAAGAATGAGTGTTTCTGCACAATCATGGCTATACCATTCTGAAATCTTATCAATTTCAGGCCTGCTAGAGGTAACCAGAAAGGCAGGACAAGGAAGCTGACAACAATGATAGTCACTTCTGGAGAAATGGAATACTTGCATTTTCAAGGGAATTAAGGGACATTGTCATCAGCTGAGTTAGTTATATGGATTAAGATTCAAACCTCAAAGAAAAAGCTACAAGCAATCCTGGTAAGATGATGTCACCAAACCCAATTATGCTATAGCCACCCCAAGGATCAAACATCCGTGGGATTTTCAGTAGCATTGGTATACCATCCTCTCCACTCTTATCACCACGAGCTACCTGTAAGAAGAGGAAAGACGTGAAGATTTGAATTTTCTATTAATATATACATTCATTACCAGGATCATTCAGCGGGCCTCACCACAACTTACCACTATCATCACACTCTCCTTGAACCACCATTTGGAAACAAAAACCCAGAAGATGTCATACAAAAAGGCACAACTTAGAAGAACTGTTCCAACCTGACCATTATTATTATTTTTTAAACCAAAAGAAAAGAAACTGCATCAAAATCAGCATATTGAATAATGTAATCATAGTAGTTAAAATGCATTTGATCACCACTATTTATCAAGTACATCAAGATCTTCTAGCATAATGTACTTGTATTAGTTATTGATTTATATGCCGTCAAATTCTCTCTATCATGAATTTTAACTTGGCTAAGATGTTATATCCCATTCCTATGGAAAATGACCTAGATGACATTAAAAGGCTATCAATGAAAACAAATAAGGTAGCACTAGAACTGTGCAGTGGGAAAACAAACTAATAGAATTGACTTTTTGATCACCTTGAGATTGGGCACACGAACAATCTGAAGAACAGTAATGATCAGAGCAATACCCTGATTGATGCAAGAAAAAAGGAGAAATTATCAGTTGGCCTCTTCCAATCAATTTGCAATGATATGGAGAAGGTGAAAAGGAAAAGATAAAACAAATTAGAACCTTAGACATTTGAAGGTACAAAGACAAATAAACTAATTCTATTGCAAATACTTCCATGATAATGGAAGCATTACATCTTTAACAAACTCATGCTAGTGCTTCACTAGTAAAATCTGATATTCAGTTACAAATTCTATACATGCCTCCGAATTTTACCATTAAACCATATTATTGCTAGTGCTGTAATCAAGTTTGTACAATTTAGACATGACATTAAAGATATTTCCCATTCACCTTTTCTACTTATTTGTGCTCGCTATTATTAGAGAGATTATTGGCTTGATGATGGTGGTATCTATTTAAGGGAGGGGAAACAAACATTATGCTTTCCATATAGGATAGCGATTTAAAACCATAGGCAGCCTAGTGGTTGTGTTCTATGGCATGGAACTTCACAAACTATGTATGCATGAAGAGAACAGCAGCAAGATGAATGCAAGTGAAAAAAAATTGTCTTACAAGGATATCTTGACCAATCCAAGCAAAGGAGACACGGCGGAAAACTGCCCAAACAACAGCAAATGCTATGCAGAAAGGAGAGACTGCCAAAGTCAGATATGAGACAGCTCCAAAGAAGGGAACTTTAATAAATGATTCTCCAGCAGGTTGAAACCATCTGAAACTATAATTGTTAGCTGTCAGTTATATGTTCCACGGGAACTTTGAAAAAACAAAGAAATTTAACAAATGTAGTAAAAGAGAAGAATAGAAGAGTAACTAACAAAAAAATACAAGTAATGCTGCTGAAAGAGGATAACATAATTCTTATACTGTAGGTACTGGGAAAAAAATAATCCCAAAGTCATTTGTTTGGCCACATTTAGTGTTGCATAAAGCAATTGCCACATTTTTTGAAAAAATAAATCCATGATTATAGATGGTCCTCAGACTAAGTTTATCAAGAAACAGTAAACACCGTGGCAAGTTAACACTGAAGGGCTGTCACACAGATAATCATTTTTCTAGAACCAACATGCATAACTATTAGGGGTACAGTAAAATGAGCTCTTAAGAAAAATAGTCCAAGATCTGGAAAGATCAAGACTGGCTGAGTTCTTTTAATTTTTCTTTTCATATACAGTTCCAATAATAAATAATTAAGAGACAAGCCCATAGTAATGAATGATAAGAATGCTAGGGTGTGGTTGCTCAGCTAACAAGACAAAATCCCAATAGAGTGCCAACATAATCAGGTAGTAGAGGAAAATAAAAAAAATGTTTGAAGTCATGCTTCTTGTCCTTTTATTCTTATCACACGGATAAAAATTCCAACACAAAACAATTATGTTGAGAATTAAAATGCAGAAAGGGAAAAGAATACACATACCATGATAATAAAGCAACCAAGCAAGTTTGCAAGCCCTATAAGCATGAAGAGATTTCAAGGTTCAACATTCACAGTAAAAAAAAACTTCAGAATGATGCAATCTGAATCAACAAGTTCAAGCGAAGCTTGAAAGATTTATGGAAACTTAGGCACTTAGACTTGCCCCACGTTTCACCAATAAATTGTCTATTTGATGATTGAGAAAAAAATAAGACAAACATCATGGAAAATAATTTTTCATGGCATATCAGGCAAGGTTCCCCTTTGATAAAAATTGAATTGCTTTCCATCAGTTTGAAATAACTGAACCATTTAGATCACTTTCATTAACACAATTGGACATTTTCAACTAATTAGTTCCTACAATTTGATGCCTCACAAATCAGAAATCCTAGAGACCTTTGATCAAATTTGCTTCTCTGACAACACTATACATCAATTCTAGTCCTAAACATGGATTAAAAAGTGTTCCGACAACGCAAGTTCCAAAGAACTAGTGCCTGTAAAAATGTATAGTGTAGAATATAGTACATTACAGGCTTGAACAATGAAAAAACAAAATAAAGAATGAAAAGAGACCTTTGCAACCAGTTGAGACCTATCTGTCAGTGACAATCATAAACTGAAATGTGAAACCAGTAAAAAAATAATAATGATAGCAAGCTAGTGTGATGACAAAATTTGATTAGACCTCAATAAGATCTCAGAATAAAATGCAGATTTAAAAAGGAGAGTAGCATAGATCCAGAAAAGGGTGATTGAACATCTAGAAAAACCTGAAACTTTTAAGCAAGTTAGAAATAGGGGATAAAACCAAGTAAAATCGAGAATCCATGCATACAAGTTTACATATGCATGCCTATGTGTCTAAAAAAATAAATAAAGATGGCAGGTACATTGATAAAAAAATTAATAATCAAAATGTAGCTGACCCACCTCCACTCCCCCAATGCAGAACAGAACCACCAGAACCTCAATAAACCAGTATGACATAAGCTTGTAAAGCATAACCAAGAAACATGAAGCAACCACGACAAAGAGAATTGCAGATGCTGTGTTGATGTTAACAATACCACTAGAGCGAACACCATCCATATCTATAAATTCATCCGAACCATCCTGCAAGCACAATGTCAATTGCTTATCACTTGAAAAAAACAGGGATCTAAACCACCAAGGATTATGCTTGACAGCAATTGCAAAAAATTATCTGTCTAGATGCCCAAAATGACCTTTAATAGCTTATCCTGCTCTATAGCAGCTTCTCTAGCACTCCACGCGGACCAGTAAGAAGAACATAAAATGGTGCCAACAGCCATAAGCCATAAGAACACTTCTGCAACATCTACCACTGGACGTCGTGGAGAGTATAACTGCACTTTAACTGAGGAAGGGAACATATGGAAGTGCAAACAAATGAATGCCCCATTCAAACAAGAGCCAAGTTTGCATATTAAGGTTTAATAACGATGCGACTGATTCATGTACAATTGCATCTGAAGAAATGAAAAGGCATATCCAACTGTGCTACTGATATAAGGGAATGAATGAATATTGAGAAGTGCAAACCTGTGGAGCTGCTCGTCAAATATTTTTCCAAGCTTGCACCAGCATCTTGTGGGAGCATGACAGAAGCAATGCCAATCTTTACATCAGTTTCATTGACTTCACAAACCATCTTGAAGAGTTCTACAGAAGAAAGTTCCAAGAGTAAATCATGAAACCAAAAATGCAAACATGACCAGTATTGACTTTTGTTCGTAAAGAAGCCATAACTATTTTAAGTTTGACAATTTACTTAGGTAGCACTCACATGTTCTAAAAATATTTGTTTTACATTTTTGAATAAAAAAAGGATTTTGTTGTAGAGACATTTCCGATTGAATAAGAATACAAGTGGAGTTTCTCCTGAGAGTTTTAGTTTTACAGAGTCAAAGCAGCAGAAAATAAATGCATTTTGGAAGTAGAACAAATGAACAAATAACACGAATAACAGCAATTATGAGAATATAGATGTCTGTTGAGAGGGAGAGATCAGTGACACTTGTATACATCAACATAAACAGAACATGAAGAGCTAGACAGATCAGTTATTTTAGTGTTGAGCTCCAAGAGATCTAATGCACGGCAGCATGTGGGCATGCAAGTCAATCGAGAGGGTTTTGAATTGATACACACAGGACGCACAAAATGTCACAAGCAAATACCTGTCCGGTTGTTTATGATAAGAATAGCTGAAGCACCAGCATCTTCAGCAACATTTGCCTTCGCTGTGAAGCTACAGTTACCTCGGTGAGCCAAGATCACCTCCCCTGAAAGCTACCCGGCAGCGAGAAAGTCCAAATTATAAGAAAATGAATAAATGAACACTATTTTGAATAACTAATTAAAATTTGAGCAAGATAAACTCTACAAATAGTTCAGAAGTTAAAAAAAAAACCTTATTTCTGGGTTTACTGCAACAGTCAGGAGGGTCAGCCAGAGCAAGTGTAGATAAATTCGTATGTTTTTCCTTAGATTCCAAAGTGAGGCCAAAACGAGCACCAACACCAACATACTCAATGTCTTCTACGCCATTAATATAAGTTGGTACTTTGACCTATAAAATAAAATTCAATAACAGGTCAAATCAAACGACATTTACAAATGCCAGTAATCATTTTTAATTTCTCATTCACTATTGAATGAGTAAAAGAAAAACTAAATGGAAATTAATTCTTTTTAGATAACAAACGATTCCATCAATTAAAAGAAAAGATTATATAGAAGCGGTTAGAAGCATTAGCCATCCTCAAGCGAGCAGAACAAAACTCTGATAAATGTAAAATTAATTTTTTATTTTCAAATTATTTTTGGAACAATTATTTCATAATATTCAAACAGAAAAAAATGGGAATCATCTAAAGCGAATGTCCTCTCAAAGCCTACAACTACTATTCATTTTTTGAAAAATCAATTGAACGATCAACTGCGTACAACTTTCCCTCCTTTGCTAAGCAACCAAACATAAATCATCATAACAATAAAAAATAAAAATTATAAACACTTCAGTCAATCCAAACGAAGCTAATGCAGTTACCACCACTTCGCATCAAAATTGAACTAACAATTCATCGCAAAAATCAGCTGCCTAAAAGTTAACAATTTGCTTCAGTTTCCTCTCCTCCAATTTTCTCACCATCCAAACAGAATCAACAGAGAGGATTTGCAGATAAAAATTAAATTGAAGTAAGGAATTTTTCCTCGGAGCTTTACCAGAACGAAATTATTTTCACAGCCAGGCCGCTTTGGAGCGACGTCGTCCTGGTGCACTATATCACTAGCTGATCCAAAACAAAAGCTTGAAGCTAAAACAACTATAAATACATATATATTTTTACAAGTATTCATTTCAAACTAAATAATTTGAAGTTTCCTTTTAGGGTTTCAGCAGAAAGAGAGAGAGAGAGGAGCAGGAAATGTGAAAATGGAGAGAAAGCATGTGTTGTACTTGTCGTTTTAGGAGGGAGACATGATAAAAACGCCGTGTGGCAACCGTTATCGAACTGGTTTACCTATTGTTTTTTCTTTTTGTTGGTAGGTTTGATTAAACGCGTTGCCTAGCCCGTGTCAATCACTGCCCTGGAATTTCATAAGAGCAGGGTTCATTTATTTTTTTTTCTGTCGAAAACACATTTAAGTGCTTGTTTAGTTCGGGAGGGAGATTTTTGT